TAAGGCTGAAAATGTAAATCTCCCATGAATCTTTCAATTTCAATTTACGTGTTTCTCCCTTAGAACCAGTAAAATGATTCTCACGTTGAAAGATTAAAGCTGTGTTGGTTTATTTTCGTATTCTAAGTAAGGCAGGCTGGCTTCCTCCTATCTGCAATCACTTTGTTAGTTCTGAAGATAATGTTCCGTTTTTCTCTGATCTTTCTCCTTCTTTACTTTATAATTTCACCAGGGCTATTTTGTTAAGTACACTGGCCCTTTAGCCAGCTTCTATGATAATACTTTTGTTTGTATTAGGAGCTGTTTGTATGTCCAAATTCAAATCTACAAACACTACAAGCGTTAAACATCAAGTAACCGTTCATGAGTTCACCTCTGACATTTAACACTAATGATGTGCTTTGCAAATACAAATGAGAGAATATGTTAGAGAAGAAATTCCAGGAGTCCTACAGTTGATCCGGAAGTCAGAAATAACGTATTTTGGTTGGGAATTAGTGTTTGTGAAATCATCGTACTGAAACTAATTAAGACCTATACAAACAAATGTTGTTTTCATATTTATGGTAAAGTTGAATCACCTGGAATGGTACCCGTTGTGAATTTTCTCTGCTATATTAACATAATTATACACATAATTAATTTAAAAATTATCCTCTGGTATGAATAAATTAGCTGTGCAAAGAATGACTCTTCTCTCATTTCACATATTTAATTATGGTCCTTCCAAATCCAGAGGAGCTTGTATTCTAAAGCGTGTGGGACTGTCTGCTCTTGCGCACACTCAACAGTGCTTGCTTTTATGGAGGAAAATGCATTTTCCCAAAGTGGGAGTATTGGCTTGACCACTGCTACTTCCAAGCATTCCATGCGTGGTTTCTCACAGGAGACAAGACTGGTCACAGCTGTCAAGGACACGTCTTTCGAGAGCTGTCTTTCCCACAAATAAACTCGTGGTCACACAAGACTACATAATTATAAATTGTGATTAGCCAAAACTTAAGCCAAAGATTTTGTCAAATAATACTAATTTTCATTAGATGTATGAAACCAAATTTCTCTTCATTTCCTTCTATTTATCTACAGCAACATTTAAACTTTTCAGGTTAGAGTTGCTGGGACATAGCAATTACTTTGCTATAAATAACTCTACCTTCTTGTTAAACCGTTATTACAGTTATTTCTCAGAAAGCAAATCTACCTATTATCCATAAAGTCTAAATCTCAGAATTTTTAAAGTGCCTTAGTTGAGTATGATGAAATGGCTCCTAATTCAATTGTACATTCATATCAGCTTAGGTAAGAGTTTAAGCAGCAAGGGTGTGAACCATTATGTTACCTTTTTTTCTGCCCAGCTCGCATGTAAAAGTGCTAAAATACACAATATGAAAATACATAATAAAAAACATGAAATGACACGGGCTTGTAGCTATGTAGCTATTTATTAAAGCACTGTTAAAGCAAAAGACTAGAACAACCATTAATAGAACATTAGTGGAAAACTATCATAAAGCTATAAAATAGAACAGTATGTGATTGTAAAATAGAGTGAAGACTCTCTTAGCAGCGATGGAGTGATAGTGAAGACATAGTAAATAAAACAGAGTACTATACATAGGTGTGTGTAGTATGCTAATTTTGTGTAAGCAAAAAGAGAATATGCATCCTTACATTTTCAGAAATAAATATGGGAGGATAAACCCAGACCTAATAAAAATGGCATCATTAAGGCCTAGGATTTTTAGAATACAGAAAACATACTTAAATATAAAAAAATCTTAAAAATTCTATATTCTTTAATTTGATTGGTAGTATCAGCATGAATCATATTAATTTTTTTTCTAAAAATACATACTTTGTATCCCCCCTACTGAAAAGTTTCAGGAGCAGTGACAATCTAGTCATAATGAATTCCACTAGTGTGCAGATTACTGTCTATAAATATCATCCCCTACTAAAAGGAGTCAGGGCTTTTTGGAGAAATAGCTAGTTTCAGGTCTGAGACAGGGCTGCACAAGAGGATGGTGGGACATCCTGCCGTGCCTTAGAGATCGTGTTAAAAGGGTGTAGGAGCCAACTTGAAGGGGCTCTCACTACCCAAAAGGGAAACAATTTAAGCATGAAAACAGGGCTGAAGTACATTAAATGTGCAAATATTCATGAATTTGTATTTGGTCACTTTTGAACCAAAATTGTTAAATAGACAGAATCAAACACATAGGTAGCTTTCCTGTATAGGCTGTATGTCACAGTCACCAAATAGTCAATAAGGAAACGGTCTTCATTATAGAAGAACCAAAGCTAATAAATACAGGAATAATAAAAGAATTAGAAAGTCACCATCCTACAGCCTTCAGCAGTACAAGGTTTGACGTTGGCAGCACTGTACACACAATTTGGTAAGGTTTGTAACCTTGGGAGATGAGCGTCTCACAGCTGCATCCGTGTCAGTGTGTGGCGGTGTCTTACTGAGTGTTGTTCATCACTGTTGTTGCATCTTGTCACTGTATGCTGTCAAAAGAATATCAGAACTTGTATTGGAGCAAGAACAGACGTTAAATTTTTCATTAAACTTGGCAAACGTGGAAGTGAAATCAGGGACATGTTAGTCCAAGTTTATGGGGATAATGCCATGAAGAAAATGGCTGTGTACAAATGGATTAAATGTTTTTCTGACGGAGGAGAAACCATCACTGATCATAAGAGGTCAAGGCAGCAGGTAACAAGCAGAACTGATGAAAACATTGCAAATATTTGTCGAATTAAGTGTCAAAATAATCAGCTGGCTGTGATAAGCATAGCAGATAAACATCAATAGAAAAACAGGAAAATCTCTAACTGAAAATCTTGGCATGAGAAAGGTATGTGCAAAAATGGTCTCACGGGAACTCACCAAGGACCAAAAGCAAAGGAAAGTCAAAGTTTGCCAAGACCTTTTGGAGAGTCAAGACAGTGTTTTATTGCTAGTGATGAAACATGAGTGTACCAATATGACCCTGAATCAAAGCATCAAAGTGCACAGTGGAAGCCAATTATCCACAGCCAAAAAACTTCTGACAGTCCAAATCAAGAGTCAAAACAGTGTTGCTAACCATTTTTGATATCAGAAGGATTATTCATTATTAATTTATACCAACTGGATAAACAACTATTTGGAGGTGCTAAAAGGGCTGCATAAAAAAGAGGCAAATGACCTGCATTTCTCTAACAACTCATGGCTCTTGCATCACGACAATGCACCCTCACAGGGGACTGTGAGGGTTTTCCTTTTTTGCCAGTAAACAAATAACTGTATTAGAACACCCTTCCTACTCACCTGATCTGGCCCCCCCTGACTTTTTCTTTCCATGGAGATAAGGAAATATTGACAGGAAGACATTTTGATGGACATCAAGAGTAATATAGTGACAGCTCTGATGGCCATTCTACTACAAAGAGTTCCAGAATTGCTTTGAAAGATGGACTAGGTGCTGACATCTGTGCCCAGCTTCCCAAGAGGGTACTTCAAAGGTGACTGTATTGGTACTAAAGAACGAGGTGTGTAGCACTTTTTCTAGGATGAATTCGTGAACCTAATTATCAGACCTATGTCATGTATCTGAGCAACAAACATTAATTTGATGAATTCATTGAGTGAAAGCTGGATGGAGAACTTTGTAAGGGGGTTGGACTAACTCACCTTGAACCCACCCATCAATCTTAACACCACTAGAATGGGAGAAGTGCGTCTACAAGATGTGGTAGGAAATACACAGCACCACCTGTGACATATTCTTGACCAAAATAAATTGCACCTAATATGATCGAGCCTCTAGATCTAATAACTGGTTCACACAAATTATGGGAATAGAGGAACATGTTAAATGACACCGTGGATAAAACCAGTTGGATCCAGAATGTGGAAATTTTCACAGGATAAATGATTCAAGTTCTTCAACAAGTAAATGTCAATGAAAGAGAAAAGTAGTGAATTTAGGTGGTGAAAAGAGATTAAAGATGCTTATCGACCAAGAGCAATGTGTGGACCTTGTTTGGATACTGTTTCAAACAAGCCAATTAAAGGAAGACAGACTTTTTTTGTTGGACAATTGGTAAAAATTAAACATGGTATTAAACATGATATTAAGGAAATATTGATAATATTTTTAGGCATGAAAATTTTATTCTAGTTAAGTTGGTTTTCTAAGTCTTTTTGTTTGAGAGCCCTAAGATATTTAAGGGGTAACAGAGTGCGATGTCTGGGATTCAGTTGTTTTTTGTTATTGTTGTTTGAGACACAGTCTCGCTGTGTCCAACAGGCTAAAGTGCAGAGGCTCATCATAGCTCACTATAACCTCAGGCTTCTGGGCTCGAGCAATCCTTTTGCCTCAGCCTTCTGAGTAGCTGGGACTACAGGCATGTACTATCACCTGGTTGACTTTTATATTTTTTGTACAGACAAGGTCTTGTTCTTACTCAGGCTGGTCTCAAACTCCTGGCCTCAAATGATCTTCCTGCCATGGCCTCCCAAAGGGCTGGGATTACAGGCATGAGCCACCATGCCCAGCCTTGGATTTACTTTAAAATACTCCAGGTCTACCAAAAAAAGTTGAGATTGGGATAGATAGGTTAAAGAAGAATAGAAAGTCAGTAATTTTGGAAACTGAATGATGGGTACAGATGGATTCACTGTGATCTTATTCTTCTTGTATGAATTTTCACAATAAAATTTTAAAGTGAACATTTAAAAGAGATCTCCCCCCAGATTAGCCCAGATTAGCTGGGATCAGGCAGTGCCTTCTCAGTAATGTTTGGGGTAAAACCCTTAGTTTGTAGGAATGTTATATTCATGGATCTTAGGAGAGAGAGGGAATTTCTTGTTACAGCTTAGCTATAGTGTCTTTTTGTCCAGTTAAATTTCATGAGTAGTAAAATTTCTTTATAGAAAGCCAGAGCGTTGTCTAGTCAGTATTGTTTACAAACTCACCCCAAATACACTGATGTTATATCCTCTTTTTCAGACCAAGCCACCCTGGTAGAACAAGTGAAAAGAGTAAAAGAAATTGAAGCTATTGAAAGTGATTCTTTTGTCCAGCAGACATTCAGATCAAGTAAAGAAGTCAAGAAGGTAAGTTTTCGGCTCGGCGCCTGTGGCTCAAGCGGCTAAGGCGCTAGCCACATACACCTAAGGTGGCGGGTTCGAATCCCCAGCCTGGGCCCGCCAAACAACAATGATGGCTGCAACCAAAAAATGGCCAGGCGTTGTGGAGGGCGCCTGTAGTCCTAGCTACTTGGGAGGCTGAGGCAGGAGACTCGCTTGAGCCCAGGAGTTGGAGGTTGCTGTGAGCGTGATGCCATGGCACTCTACCCAGGAGGACAGCTTGAGGCTCCGTCTCAAAAAAAAAAAAAAAAAAAAGAAGGTAAGTTTTCGTCCAGGTACTAGAGCAAACTTGGATTCCAACCGAAGAAATGCTGTATTAACAGATTTTACTTAAATTAAGTGCTGCTTCTGATAGATGGAGGAGAGTGAGAGAGTGTCAGTCATGTTACCTAGAGAGAATCAGTCGGTGAGAATCAGCTCAAGTTTAACTTTAACAAACATCTATCTGATGTCATTTCTATTTTTAAATTCATGGAGAAGACAGAGTAAGATGTCCACGTGATGGTTCTGTAACAGTAATGTGCACACTATGAACATGTACGGTTTTCTGTTCAGACATATATATCAACTGTTTGAATTGACATTAGAGAAAAATTGGAAACATGCTTGTACGATAAAACTAGTTAGTATCTCCATTCTTTGACCAGATGGGTATCACTTACTCAAGTCTAGTAAAAGGAGCTTTGATTGACATTTCTGTTGAATATTTAATACATTCTTTCATTCATTAGGAGGACTGCTTTTAGGAATTATATTCCTTTGATAAGAAAAGGCATCCTAGGAAATGTCTTCTTTAATAACTTTTACATAATGAAGACACAATTGTAGTTAACACTTTTTATAAGATTCTGTGCATCTGTAAGTTTATTAATGACTGTATAAAGTACTGCTGATAATATCCTGCTGAATGGATCAGAACTCATTTATTTTCCCTCTGATATTAGCTATGTAAGTAGTTCTAAGTTCAGAGATAATACATGTTTTCTAAATAGTTTTGCAAGGGAGTTATTTGTTAAAGATTCTTATTGTTCATTTTAACACATTCCCGAAATCACCCTCCAAAAATATGATACCAAGTCAAATTCTACTCAAAGTGCAAGGAGATGTCTGCCTCCCATACTGTGGTTAGCACCAAACTCCGTCATTCTTTTTTCATGTTTATAGACCTAATAGATTAAAACTGGCCTGTTGTTTCCATCAGTACTTCTTTTGTTGTTAGTGAGATAAAAGTCTTTTCAATTACTGTGTAATGTTTAAAATAAGCCTTTGCAGAAACTTGTATTGAGAATATAGCTGCGTGCCAGGCACAGGGGTGGATATGCCTTGGATAATCCATGGTCCCTGCACTGTCATTTTGTTGATTTCTTTTGAACGTTTGTAGTTTGCCACCACAACTCCTAAAAAGATAAAACTATGAAATGCACATTAACAAATACAGTTGCTAATTTCATTTAATATCTTACATCTTACAAAGTCCTTCATATAGCCTAATAGAATTACTATAACTTATTTTAAAAATCACTGTCCTAACATTTATTTTATTTTATTATTATTTTTTTGAGAGAGAGTCACACTCTGTTGTCCAGGCTAGAGTACAGTGCTGTCAGCCTAGCTCATAGCAACCTCAGACCTCTGGGTTCAAGTGATGCTCCCGCCTCTGCCTCCCAAGTAGCTGGGACTACAGGTGCCTGCCACCATCCCTGGCTAATTTTTCTATTTTTAGTGGAGACAGGTCTCACTGTTGCTCAGGCTGCTCACGAACTCCTAAGCTCAAGCAATCCTCCTGCCTCTGCCTCGGCCTCAGAACGCTGAGGTTACAGGTATGAGCAAGACTGCACCTGCCAGACCACACCAGACCACACCAGACCACCTAGACCACGCCAGACCATGCCAGACCACACCAGACCACTCCAGACCACCTAGACCACACCAGACCACACCAGACCACTCCAGACCACACCAGAACACACCAGACCACTCCAGACCACTCCAGACCACACCAGACCACACCAGACCACTCCAGACCACCTAGACCACACCAGACCACACCAGACCACTCCAGACCACCTAGACCACACCAGACCATGCCAGACCACACCAGACCACTCCAGACCACCTAGACCACACCAGACCACTCCAGACCACCTAGACCACGCCAGCCAACTGGTGCTTATTTTCTGAAGTTCGCCTGACTTCTCAGTTTTCACTGGATTCTCTTAAGCAAACTAGCACTCTCTTTGTGTGGAAATGCTTATCCCTCCATAGTCAACACACTGGGTTTTCTTCAGAACAACTTTTTCCCGTTTGGCACTAATTATTAATATTTCTCTGTAAACTTATTTTTAATTCAATGCCTCTCCTCCAAGAAAGCACCACTGAAAGGCAGGAAGTGGTGCCAGCAGGGGCATATGCTAAACTGCCTCTGGAGGCGGCATTTACCTTGGGGAAAGTACAGTAGTCTGAGGTCTTAGCCCTCTAGTGCTCTACTTTCACTAGTCGCCATGCTTCAGAATGATCAGAAGAGCAGTGATAGACCCACACGCTACTGAAATCTAAAACACAGGGACAGTTTGTTGCTGTAGAAAGTGATATCCCTTCCTGGAATTGAAAATGTCTGTGTCTGCAGTATAAGGCAAGGACTCAGGATGCCCAAGAAGCTGAATTATTTATCAGGAGATTTCTTCACAAACGGAGGTAAATTATCTTGAGGTCATTTCATCCAAATCATGGGTACCCTTAAGACATAGCAAGGATTAAAGGATAAATTACCCATGACCCTAGTTTCAATTTTTTTTTTCTCCTGAACAGTTCTACACACTTTGGTATGAAGTTTGTTGTCTCTGAAAAGGGCTTTTTTATGCAACCACCCCTTCAGTTGGTACAGTCTTTCTTCGGCTGTGTTAATTTCACTAATTAAGCTAGGTCACTGTTAACAGACAAGTAGCTCTTACAATGACATAGCAGACATGCTATCTCCTGCAACACATATTGATTGTTTAACTCTCTGAAGTTATATTTCTCTTGTTTGAGAAGAGAATCTGATGGCCCCTGATGTATCATAAACTTTAGAAACTAAGGTACATCTTATTTTCAATCTGTTGTACAAAATAAGCTTAGGAGAAGAGAGGCACTCTGCAACATGGTCTCTTGTGCTTATATTTGGAAGTGTATTTTAAAACTAATTTTTCCAAACCAAACCGCCAGGTGGCAGTCCCACTCAAAGCCAGATGTGTTTGGTGGTACCCGTCTTCATTTAAATAAGGAAGCAATTACCAGCTTTCTCCACACATGTTTAAATTGCCAGTTGTTAAATAATTACTTCCATGCTCTGATCCTAACCACTGAGAGCTTCACCTTATATGAGTGTAAATACTTCTTAAAGAAAACATTAATGTGCCATGTAGATAAGACAGAATGATATTGGATTTGTATAATAGAATGTTATCTGTGTTACCTGAAGAAGTGAGATCACATCTTTGGCAAGTAGAATAATAGCACTTTGTATCTTTCCAAGGCAGACCAGCATGGACAGCCAGTCTCCTGACTAACGCCTAGCATGGCATGGCCGAGCTATGCAGAATGACGTGTTCATGCAGTCTCTGCAAGGCAGCATAGACTACCAAAAATCTGTCCTTGACCTTTGGGATTAGCATACATCCCACCTTCCCTTGTGCAGAATTTTGACTTTACTGTTAAGTGTATCAATTTTATCCTAGCACTCTGGGAGGCCGAGGTGGGTGAATTGCTTGAGCTCATGGGTTTGAGACCAGCCTGAGCCAGAGCAAGACTCCATCTCTACTAAAAAACCAAAGCTGGAGGCAAGAAGATTACTTAAGCCCAATGGAAGTTGCTGTGAGCTATGATGTGGCCATGGCACTCTACCCAGGGCGACAGCTTGAGACTCTGTCTGGGGAAAAAAAAAAGTGTAAGTGATATAAAGGGTTGATATAATATCAATATAATATCATTGAGGGCCATGAGCCTTCTAGGCACAGTTATATGAGAGACTTACCAATGTTTGAGACTGGGGTGGGGAGGGGATTGTTGCCTTCAAAATACAAGAATTGAAAGCTGCCAAATCAAATTTAGTCGTGATTTCTTTAAATGTCTATAAAAGTTAGCATTGTGATTAACACCGACATCATTAATTGTGAAAACAATTTGTAAAATAGATTTCTCTTACTTTGCAAGAATTCCTAAACACACATGATGACTGCTTAGAAATCTAGCCTTCAAGGTCCATTTGTCCACAGGAGTATAAGTCTCTCCTGTCGACGCAGACTACCTTCCAGGAGCTAGCATAAAAATTAAGAGTATTTTTAATTGAATAAAATACTTTCCATGTCGTAAGCATCATCATCTCCAAAATTGCTCAGAACTTGTCTCCTCTGCACTCTCCATGGCCACCACCCTCATCCAAGATATCCTCTCACTCCGTAGCTATTGTGGCAGCCCCCTGACGGGCCTTTTCTGTTTTTCACTTTGCATTTCTCTGGTTCAGGGCCCACCCAGCAGTAGAAAAATTTTTTTCAAGAATTAACAAGACTTTGACCCCCTATCATCAAACAATAACTGGTACGAAACTTCTCTTCCCACCATAAACAACTGTGAACTTGGCGAGATGTGAGGTATTGTGTACAGGTGCACAGTGTAGGACTGGCGACCCTGAGAGAAAAGAAACAAACAGAGAGCCCCACAGTCGCCCCGGCTTTCTGCCGAGGACCCTGTCCTGCTGGGGTGCTGGGAGGCCAAGCAGAGTGGTGGTGTGGCTGAGTAAGGAGGAAACGACCCAAGTTCTGGGCTGTGATGTCCAGCTGTCCCTTTTGCTCACGGTATACCAGCTCCTCCGGCCTTGTTTCTGAACTTCAAACACACCACGCTTTTCTCTTTTAGGATCTTTGTATTCACACTTCCCTCTGGCCAAAGCACTCTTTCTCTTTCTCTTCTCACACTTCAGCTCTTAAATTTCACCTCCCAAGAGGTGCTGTTCCTAGTCACCCAATCTAGGGTAGATGCTCTCCCCACCCTGATCCATCCTCCTGTGTGTCAGCATCTTGTTTGGGCCTTCACGTCACGTGTGCTACAATTGCGGTTATGTTTTTATTTTTATTTTTATTTTTTAGTTCATTTCCATCAGCAACATGTGACCTCTAGTTGGGAAAGGGACCACATCTGTTTTGTTCTTCCTTATGTATCTAGGCTTATAAATTAGTAATGCTCAATAAATACTGATGGTCTAGATCAAGCTCCAATTCTAAAACAAATTAATCTGAGAAAGGATTAACTAATTCATGCATATCTTATTCTCTACACATTTTTCCCAGTGACATCTGTTTTGTGCTTCCTTCAGAGAAGTGAATGTTCAGAAGTAGATAAGTCAAAAGAAAATGGAAATTGAAAAACAAGGGTATAGAACCAATAAGTGTAGAAAAGGCTACCTCCCAGAATTAATCTCCCATCTATGATTTCCTTATTATTTTACTTTTAATTTCAGCTTCGTATCTGATCCGTTTAGTGTTATCCCTGCAACCTTACTTCTCCTCAGTCACTTCCCCGGCCACCTTCTTTCTCAGGGAAGAAGACATTGAAATTTACCTGAGTTAAGCACTAAGTAAATTCTACTGATTAAGGAGCCTCTGGCTCCTTCAAGGCAAGAATAAAGATTTATAGCTCTCTGTGTTCCCAAGACTTAGTACAGTGCGCGGCACATGGCAGAACTCAGGAAGTGTGGGGGAAATGAGTGTGTACAGTTTGCGAGAGGGTGTGATAAAGCCTAGAGTTCCATTTTCCAAAGATATGACATACCTTTTGTTCAAGCTTTTATTTTTTAAACATTTAAGTAATCTTCAAAGATAATCTTTGAGTCCATCAACCGAAGAACAGATAAATAAAATGTGGTAAAACTCATACAGTTAAACATTATCTGCATAAAAAATAGTGAAGTACTAATACAAAGTACAACGTGGAGGACCCTTAAGAACCAGTCATAAGAGACCACATCTGGCACGATTCCTTTTCTATAAAATATCCAGAATCGAGAGAAAATAGATTCATTGTTGCTTGGGAGAAAGTTGCGGGAAATGAGGAGTGACTGCTGATGGGCATGGAGTTTGGGGCTGACGAAACTGTTCTCACGTTGGTCCTCGTAATAGTTGCACAACTCTGTGGATATGCTAAACGCCACGGAATAGGTACTGTAAATGGGTAAATTGTATAGAATGTGAATTCTATCTCAATAAGGCTGTTATTTTTTTGAAAATAAGATATAACCTTTGAATTTACATGTTATACATTAGATGCTAGAGATGTGTTGCAAGCTTATTTTGATTAATAGAATTTAAATATAGGAGATATATATTTCAATTGTCTAGACTCATAAGCACCAATGTCTTAAGAAAATTATGTTGATCATAGAAATGTTAAACATTTGCCCAAAGTTTTTATATTTATTTGTTGTAGAAATAATTGCTTCTCATTCAGTATCATAGGTTCTTTTTGACATGGGTATCATGCTGAAACTAACTGAACAATTGCTATTCAAAATCAGAAATACCATTAAAGTAAAATTCTAGTTTTGTTGAAATTAATGTGCGTTGTATGTTTCAGTCAGTGGAACCTAGTGAAGTGAAACAGGCAGCGTCAGCGTCAGGACCGGCGTCGGCAGCTGCTGACCCGCCCAGTGCAGAGAAGGAAATAGATGCTAACAGCATCCCCACTGCCATCAAGTACCAGGATGACAATTCTCTGGCCCATCCAAACGTAAGATCCGCAGACCTTCATGTTGGCAGAGTCTAGTTAACTGAAGTTAATTCAAGCTTTTGCACTTTTGTGCCGACACCAGTATCACCAGAGGAAACAGGTTCAGATGTTTCTATTTGCCAGAACCAGGCAGCTGGCCCTGTTACCTATATTTGAAATCAGTACGGTGCAACTCACGTTGCCTGACTTCTAGGAGGATTCTTTCCATGGTTGAGAAAAATAGGCAAAGAGAAGAGGTTTGTTTTGTTTGTTTGTTTTAAAACAGCTAAAAGTTCTGATTCTGGCTTAGCTCTGGTTGTTCATTGACTGGGTGTGTCACTAACATCGTTCTTTGCTGACTTCTGTGAAGTGGTATCATCTCACTTTCTCAGAAAAGTAATGGGAAGTGAACTTCATGCAAACAGAGAGAGCAAAACTGATGGTTTGGGCACTAGCCCTTTTACCCCAAGCTCTTCCGAGCAGCGCTGATTCCAGACAGATGTCTTTACTGAAGCAGACACAGGAGTCAAACTACCCAAAGCGCATTCGATAAAGGACATTTGTATCATGTTAGGTCAGCTCCAAGGTAATGGCAGACGGTAAAAGTTTTCCTTTTTCTTTTCTTATTTCAGTTATTTATCGAGAAAGCTGATGCTGAGGAAAAGTGGTTCAAGAGGCTAATTGCTCTCCGGCAAGAAAGACTAATGGGCAGTCCTGTGGCCTGAGTCATATACTTGCGGATAGGTCGGCAGCAACATTAGAAATTTAGGCTTTCAAATCCCAGTGTCAAGTCTCTAGTCATAAAAGGAATTTAGTTGATTATATTAAAAGGTAATGTCATTTCATTCTTTTCTCATGTGAGCGCGAATATTTGTTGATTTGAAGTAAAACATTGTGAATAAAACTAGTATAGAATTTAAGAATGCATGGAAATGTTATTCTGCTAATAGAGCTAATAATTAAAAAGTCAGTGTTAAAATAAATGGCACACAGTCGTTTCTAGGTACAATTCAAAAGATACCAAGTTGTCCTGTAAAGACACATGTTGGGTAATCATGCATATGTAAGAATCAAATTATTTGTTGCAAGTGTGAGCTTTCCTCTTCCTTGTATTACAAAACCCTTTTTTAAATATTTTATTTCACTTCATTACAGAGTGTTTAGCATAGTGGAAAGGACCCCTCACAGTCTAAGTGGAATCTGCATGTTAAACTTAAGGGAATGACATTTTATTGAAAAAAAATTTTCTTGAAACTTAAATAAATTGAGATGATCAGCTTCAAGTAGGACGGGTGTTCCTTTGAAAGATGTTAGCAAATCCCAGCTGGTTCTCAGAAATCACATGTTCAAGCTAGACCTAACTAGTTGGCCTGATATCCACGATGGAGAAATCATTTCTGAGAAAAGTGGTGAGAGCCCTCACTTGAGTCTTACTTACCCAACTACTGTTCCCTGTGGAGAAAGGCAGCGAGCTAATTGTTGTTGTGATAAGGCCGCCTGCCTTTGTAGAACCCCTTGCTCTTGTAGCTAAATGACAGTCAACTGTGCATTCCATACTGAACACGTCAGAGATAAGGACTGCAGGCCTTGCTTTACAGAGCTGGTTGTAACAGCTGACACGGATATTTCTTTCCCGTGGCCATTTTCTTCTGTTGTCCAGTCTCTAATTTAGTTTCTGTGAAGACTAGCTCAGAACACAAGATTTAAAGATAGACAAAGCAACATACAGGTCATTTTAATGTCATCTTTTTTACATTTCTAGAACAACGAAAATTCAAATCTCTGTTGAAAATGAAAAATAAAGGCTCGGTGCCTATAGCTCAGCAGCTAGGGCACCAGCCAAATACACCAGAGCTGGCGGGTTCGAATCCAGTCTGGGCCTGCCAAACAACGACAACTACAACCAAAAAATAGCCAGGTGTTGTGGCGGGTGCCTATAGTCCCAGCTACTTGGGAGGCTGAGGCAAAATCATCACTAGAGCCCAAGAGTTTGAGGTTGCTGTGAGCTGTGACACCACAGCACTCTACTGAGGGCAACATAGTGAGATTCTGTCTCAAAACAACAAAAAAAAGGAAAAGAAAAAGAATTTATACTCAATGGCAGATGGTCTGGAAAAGGCCAATGATGAAATGTTTGTTTTTATACACACAAGCTTTCCCATTCTGAACAGATGCTACTGTTCTTTTTTTCTTAGCTGTAAATAAAAGGGCCCAATATTAACCAGGATTGTGTGGCTTTTAATATAGATATACTAAAGGGATTACAGTTTCTGAAATATTTATACTTCATTCTTTGTGTAATTTATAAACTACAAAAGCACTATTGCCTTCTTAGAAAGTATATATTTAGTAATCTGGGCAAGAGTATGGGTGTCATTTGGGCCATTACCGATTCTGCGGAGAACCTCGGCTGGGCAGTTTTCTCAGTGTGCTTGATCTTCCCATATCTGCAAAATAGTGAAAATATGGTCTACTGTAATTATCCTTAAAACCAGTGTTCTTCTGCTACAAATACCCTAAAAACAGAAGTTTGAATGGCAATATATTTGTATTTTAAAACTAAATTTTTCATGTAGAATAGAAAATCAAAGTTTTTTAAAATAAACTAAACTATGATCCCTGCAGGAAGTCAGTGACTCCTTCCTTCCTGGTTTTCAGCATGATTCACTGTGATGTATTATTAACTTCATTTACCTGCATTCCTAACAAAGACTGCAGTATTACCACACAAGCCAAATTAAATTTAATGAGAAAGACTTTATAGAACACTATCAAACAAATTGCCAAACTCAAGCTAGGTGATGCTTCCCGGCCTTCTTTAATCCCTTAACATAATGAGTGTATAAAACAGAGCAGTGCCTTTCATACCACTGGGTTAGTGATAATACTTTGGACTTACGCGAGACCTTGAGTGTTTTTGAAACATTGAGTTCTTATAAAATGTGGATACTAACGATACAAGTTGGGTTTTCATTGCTGACTTTAAAATGCGTTCTCGGGGAAAATGGAATAAGAGCATTGTTTCCGGCCCTCCCTCATTCTGAGGAGGCAGGTGCCTAAAGATAGGGGGACAGAACACTTGAGTCATTCCCCTACTCTGTGTCAGCATCCCAGCACGGGAAAGGAGAGGCTGGAGCAAAGTAGGAGAATGACTCAGTAATAGAAGGCCTGCTTACTTTGATTTTTCATTAAAATGGCATAAAACAAAGCCCTTCATAGAAAAGTACGCTGTTTATGCCAAGTGAACATTTGACACAGTAGAAAACCAAATGAAATATGGAACAAGTAGTTGCATAATTAATGATTTGAAAAGCTACACTGTAACCTCCTCGTGTTTCTTCTGTGTGTTCAGCTGCCACGGTCAGTCGTCCCCCCGCCCCAGCTTTGTGCCCACCCTTCTCTGATCCACCGCCGCTGTGAAGACCTCACTTGCTCTGTGGTCAGCCACCTACTATCTGCGAACTCGAGGAACTGGGGGCTTCCGTGCAGTCACATTTACCCACTCAGTCATTAACGTTTTGAGTTCTTAGTTCATGCCGGGCACACTTGGGCAATCCGCAGGTGAATCCAGTGGCAGTTCTGCCCCAAAAGGCTTACTTACGAGTTCCAGACATGCAAGTGATGTAAGAGATACAGGACTTGGTGGTAAAGGAGAAGACTTGGTTGCAAAGATGAGTAAAATTACTGAGTTAGAAAATTAGGGAAGGCTTCAGGGAAAAATCACAACTGCACTAAGACGCAATGGAGATGGCAGCTGGAGCCACAGGGACTCAAAGCCACCCACTCGCATCTTCCTAAAAGCACTTTAGAAGGCTGGCAGCCACTACAGTTCCAGCCTAAGAACAGAGTCCCTCTCATAAAGACCCAAGTAATGCCGCTCACTCCATCTTACCAAAAATCCAGGCAAAATTTTAGGTTCCTAGTAACTCTCTGACTCTCCGGCCATTTTCTTCTTTTGGTGGAGAATCGACTGAGGAAGACAAGTCTTCATTTGGCCACACGCTTCAACAATTTGGCATTACTGCCACTCAAGATGACGGGTTCTACAGTGATAGCTGAAAAGAGACTTCCAATGCCTCTAAAAAAGAACAAAAACTACATCTGGCAGTAAGAGCCTCCATGGCCAGGTGGACCCCTGTGAGTTCCCGGATACTCTGTTTGGCTGCTCTGTGCCATTGCAGAAAGCACTGTTTTGGAACCAAAAGATGCCATTAATTTGCCTGTGGTTAGGTCCCTCCTCAAATGTTCCTTAGGTTTAGCCATTAAGTGAGAATCTTTAAGTGAGCAAATAAGATGGTAATAAAAACTAGAAATGAAACGAGGCGTAGGACATTTTTGGCCACTAAACCGTGCATGAGTTGACCTGGAACGCTTGCCCCCGTTACTCCTCCCCTCCCTAACCCGAGATGCTGAGTGGATGTTACAAGAGATTTTAAACCAGCTCCTAACCATTACCCAACTGAGCGTGCATGCATTTGGATAATTTTTAAATGCCATCCTATGAGCCTTATTCTTTGGAACTCCTTTATAGAATAATGGAAAAGTAAGTCCTCTTGATAAGAAAACATCTGAGTCTTTTTACCAACCAGGAATAAAAATGATTGTAAGGAAGAACACTTGGTAAAATTTGTAATCATCATCTTTTTTTTCATAAGGATGGACATTGATTAATTGATTTAGCTTTATTTACATCAAAGAAAAATGAAGTTATAATCTGTTTCCAAGTTATTTTTGCTATCATTATATCCCCAGAATTTGGCCCATTGCCTAACACAGCGAAGGTCTCAATAAATTTTTTTTAATGAAGGAAGAATTGATTTGCCTGTCTCAAATGGGCAGCCTTGTTATTTAATTGCTCAAGCTAGTTCCAACTATTATTTTTCCAGTGCAAAAATAAATAAATAAATTTTATAACCAAATTAGTTTGTTTCTCCGATTTATATCTCCAAATGTCTCAGCTGATGGGACGTTTGGATGTCACAGGGACGTGCAGACTATGGTGCCTTCCGTGCTGCATTAGGCACTAGCCGTGGGGCTAGCATTTAACAGGGATCTAATCAGTGCTGCCCTTGCCCAGACATTTTTTCTGGTCTAAGTTTTTCATCATATAAATATTTCAAGTGCTATAGACGTGGTCATTCAGAGTCCACCAACTGGCTCCTCTGATTGCTCTCCTTCCAAAGCTATAGATCAGTTTTCAAAAATAAAAGCTACCGGTATGGTAACACAACACTTTAAACTCAACAATGTAAACCATTTTATTTTTAGGTCTCGAGAAGGAATGGCAAAACGATCCTGCTGCACTTCTCAGAGAGTGATGAACTCAACTGACCCTCTCTTCTTAGCGTCTCGTAACATGTTACTCAGGCTTACATCTCACAGGATGAAAAGTTAGTATAGTGCAGGCTCCCTCTGTAATCTTCCTGAAAACTAACTGCTAAAACCCATGTCGAGTAAAGCCCAAGGCTGCAGTCTATTGCCTGTACGTGTCCTATGAAAGTTATATTTTTTTCCAACTGCATTTTATCTTTATAAAATACTTGAAAAGTAAATCTTTTCCAAATACCAGCACAATGGATTGAATGAGTGTATTAAAGATTGGATAGATTTTTAAAACAAATTCTATAACTAGATTATTTATTTAAGGGTATTATCTGTAGCTTTCTTCTTTCCTTTTTCTGCTATAGTAAAGTGTAATTGATCTGGATCAGATAAGTCATATGGTGAGTACATTTTCTACGTATCTGAATCAGCTGCAATATAATTACAGGAGGTAAAAATAAAATTACATTCCGGATGTAATTCATATCCAGAATCATAGTCTTTGATAAATATACTTTTCTTTGTCTTTGAAATGTCTTATAAAAGAAGTTTTGTTTATACCTTGCATAGAGCACTAATAGCACCCCAAGGCCTCTGTTCTGATAAGCTGCCTTATCAAAAACAGGTGAGCCTTCAAGGAGAGACTCATTTTCACAATACTACTCGTTCTTCTGCGATTATACTTGTGTTTTGGAGGTCATATGACTCATTTCCAGCAAAGGGACTCAGAGAATTGTAATGTGCCATCTTTATAGTTACTGATGAGAGAAGCTAACAAGTAATGATTAAATGGGTCATAGTTCAGCACAGCCTAGAAAATGCCAAAGACTCAGTTCATTTGGAATCTTTAACTTGAAGTTCCAATTTTTACATATTTTTATTTTGCTATAATAACTGTGCCATATAATTTCCAAGAGACATTGTTCAATTACTTTCTAACTCCCTTGGAAAGGTATTTACACAGACCTTGGAGACATTTAAAAGTAAGAGTTACAAAAATATTATGTTGTCTCCCTACAAAAAAATTCTGCTTTTTCTCTTATTTTTTATTTTATTATTTTTGGGGGGTCGGAGGAACAGAATCTCACTCTGTCACCCTCAGTAGAGTGCTATGGCGTCATAGCTCACAGCAACCTCAGACTCGCAGGTTGGAGCTGTCCTTTTGCCTTAGCCTCCTAAGTAGTGGGGACTATAGGCGCTCACCACAACGCCCAGGTAGTTTTTCTATTTTTTTAGTAGAGACAGGGTCTTGCTCTTACTCAGGGTAAGCTCAGGTGATCCACCTGCTTTGCCTTCCAAAAGTACTAGGATTAGAGGCATGTTTTCCTCTTATTTTTTTTTTAAAAACTTTTTAGAATTACCATAATCTATGGCAAAAATCTCTGTGTGTTTACTGACAAAGGCAGTGTAGATTGAAATGTATTTTTACATTGAGAGTTTTAATAAAAGAACCAAGCAATCTTAAAGTTGAAATGTCTTCAGAGGGGGTTAA